GAGGTTCGTCTTGGAGCTTTAATTTCCTTTACAGTCTCGGAAGCTCATTTCTCGTCACAAAAATACAGTACAAAATAATTTTCTTGTGTTAGTACGTACACCGAAACACATAGGACTGCGATACGAGAGGCAAAAATAAATTTCGTCCTGGAAACATAAACAGCTACTTACAATATCCTGAATGAGAGAGGAAGATAATATTATAATGAATGTTACTGAGGAGATGGGAGATGTAACTGCGTCAGGCTCTGCCCAGCAGTGAACTTTGGTGTCAGCGGCGTTGGTCTTCTAGTCTCTAGTTAGCTACTTTGTTAGTCAGTCAGTTAGTCAGTCAGTCAGTCAGTCAATAACTCAGTCAGTACCGGATCTGTACCGACCGCAACAACCTATGCTCAAGTGTGCCTGAAATCATGGCTTTACTGAAGCTGTAGACCGTTGCAATCAGTGGGCAACACGTACCTTCTAAAGTGCAGTATACTGTAAAGTCGTTTTATTCAAACTCATAGTTTGTTGCATCCACCGGTATTTTGTACGCTGTATATACTATATTATATACCGTAATGGATTGGCTAACCGATATACATATATAATACGCCAACCTATATGTTATATATGACGTATAATATATATCGGTGCATCCACTCGTTTTATGTGCAAATTTAATCTAAGAATATGATACAATAATTAAAATCATAATTAAAACCGACCTGAAGATGGCATATTTGTGCCGAAACTTGTCCTAGACAGCTTCTCCACTTGTTGGAAATAATATCATGTTGACTTGAATATAATAGATATTGCTTGTTCTTTCAAGGTGTCCGGCAAGGGAGGTGGACTTCCAAGCGCTAGAGAGGGCGCTGTCATTTTGCCCTTACGCCAGTCTGACCGTACGTCCAAGCTGTGCTGTTAACTACCAGCGCGTAATATTGCGCTGTATTGCAATGCCTCCCCGGTTGGCAGGAACAGAAAGCGACAAATTAAATCTGTCAGCCATTACATAACATTGCCTGATCACGAGAGTAACGACTATAAAATTGTCAAATAAAATAAAATATATAGCAGGTTATGGCCACATGAGTTGGAAGAAATATTAAATAAAACACATTTAATTTGTTCACTGTTTTATTTTATATAATTTATGTGTGAACAAACAATGTATTGTAATTTTATATGTAGCTCAGTCGGTATAACGATGGACTAAGGGCTGGACGGCCGGGGTTGAATTCCCGGTACACGCAAGGTTTATATTTCCTCCTTAGCTTCCAGACCGGCCTCCTATATGATGGGTAGCGGGAGCTCCTTTACAGACTGTAAAGCAGCAGGGACATGAAGCAAACTACTTACCTTCATCTAGTGCCTCAACTCCACCAAAAGTCTTGATGGTGTGATGCTTAATTAATTAAGTACAGGGGCAACTTTCCCTTTTACTGCTCGTGTACTGAAGCAAGGGATCGCGCCGACGAAGGCACGGAACTGCGGCCGCTGCTGCGTACCGACAGCTTCGGCAAACCCGTAGCTTTACTCCTTGTCCTGTTGTCACATATTGTACCATTAGTTCATCTGCCAATTTAACCGAAAAGAACCGTCCGATTTTCTTACCTCTTGAGGCGTGTAGGTATTTTTTTTTATTACTTGGTGGGGTGGGACTGTGTCCACTTGTACTGCGCCCACTTCTGGCCAATTGTACCAGCCCCAGATGATAGGTGAGGGTGACTGTGGAGCAATTGGTGGAATGAAGTTTGGCAGGGGAAACCGAAGTACTCGGGGAAAACCTGCCCCAGCGCCATTTTATCCACCACAAATCCCACTTTACTAGACCCGGGATCGAATCAGGGCCGCCGCGGTGAAGGCTTGTAGGTAAGTTGGTTTTATTTTAGCGTCCTATTGCACTGATTTATATTCATAATGTGCATATATGAACAGTCTTCAAGTGCAAACAATCCCATCTACCACCTCTACACTACATGTTTCGGCAGTATGCTGCCTTCTTCAGGTGTATCGATCCGTTAACCATTTCACTGCTTGCCTTTATATGTCCATTGACAAATAATATTAAATTTGTATACGCCTTTATGTATAATAATAAAGTTTGCATGTTTAAAACTTGTTAAAACCTATTATCTCATATGTAATATTTTTAAAATTCGTGTTTATTATTAATCATAATCATAATCATAACATGTAGTGTAGAGGTGGTAGATGGGATTGTATGCACTTGGAGACTGTTAATATATACACATTACGAATAGGTAAGTTGGCTTTCGGTTTCGGAGACTTCTACCTTCCACAAGGTAGTTGGATGGTGCCACGCGTGGCACATTTCGTCCCATCGTTCATGTTGACCTGACCGACAGAATTAAACCTACCGGTAGCCGTGCTACTCTTAATACACACTTCAGCCTCACCAAGACAAGAAAATTCCACCTCAAACAATGGATTTTGATAATTTGAGTAATAAAATGCCGTTCTCGGAACTCAGCTTTCAAATTGACCTTAGACATTAAATTAGAAATACACTATTTATATAACGGAAATAACTGCTGCAGATGTTGCGACGAAAATAAATTATGCAAATATTGAACTAGATTCAGGGTACAGTCCATATGGCGGGCTTTTGTGTCACTGTTGATGGATGTTCGGATTCCAAAAGACTGTTTTTTTAAATGTGTAATATTTATTGACTCATCCTAACAGAGCTTGTACAAGGAGTTAGTTGGTAATTTCTGAAGCGTTATTGTATATTCGTAGATATATCTAAGAATTCACAATAATATTGAAACCACTTTGACTAATGATTCTGACACGTTCATATATGCATTCAGAGCCTTGGGCGACGGACCACTGAAGAGTGGCATCAACGTGTACGAACCTCTGTAACAATTCGGCGAAAGATATTGATTGTTATGAAATATTTCTGACACTCTTTTCATTGATGAGAAAATTTCTAGGTCGTGAAATGACCTCCATGTATTTCTTGACATGACCTATTTCATATCAGTCCGTCACGTATTTTTCATTTTTGTCTTTTATCATTCTGAATGTTCAGAAGAGTTTGAAGTCCTTGATGGAATAAATTTAGTCATGTCTTGTACAGAAATGGAGAGTGTGAACACAAATATCTGCCTCCCCTTCATATATTGGATGGCTAAGGTATTATACGTAATTAGGTGACGTCTATATTATTTTATTGCCAGATTTAGCGTGTTCGAACTATTAAAATGAAGCGTTTTTTTCGAAACTTTTCGTGCCTAGTGCCAGTGATTCATATATCATCGCCATTAACCTAAAATTGGGGTACGCGGTAGCGTAGATGTTAAGGTGCTATGCTACAAGCCGCAAGGTCGCGGGTTCAAGTCCCAGTGAGGTCATTGGATTTTTTTCAATTCACCTAATCCTTCCGGCCGCACTAGGCCCTGGGGTTTACTCAACCTCTAACAGAAATAAGTACCAGGGATTAATTAAATAATTTTCCTATGGAGTGAAGCCATCTTTGAGCCGACTGTCTAGATAATGTGTGACCCCTAACGTCTCACAACCCTATGGGCCTTCACGGCCTGTTACAGGGATAGCTTTACTTACTTTCTTTTTACTTTTTAACCTAAAATGGAAATGTAAGTTACACGTTTGTCACTTTGTAGCTCTCAATTCTTCAGAAAGAAATATTTAAAGCAAATGTTGACATTTTTGTAGGATCTAGTACCATTTGTCACACAATTTTCAGGACCTTACTTTGAGCAATGTTAGGGCCACAGCCATCTCAGAATTTTGAGAAGCAATTGTAGGTATTGTGATTACTGATTGAGCAAGTTAGAAAGTAGACAAGTAGAGGCAATTTGTCCCTCATAGCTTGAATCTGAAAGTGAAATAGGGAGATGGACTCATGGATATGGTGGTATCAGCAATCCATCTATTTTTATGAAATAGGGAACATATGCAGAAATTGAGTCAGGTATTTCTCTGTTGATGGCAATACATTGACCCTTCGTCTGTTTTTTTTAAGTTTCTTGGAATGGGGTGAGACTGAGTCCATTTGGTACGTCGGCCACTATCTGGCCTATTGTACCAGCCCCGGATGATAGGTGAGGGTGATTGTGGAGCAGTCGGTAGAATGAGAATTGGCAGGGGAAACAGAAGTACTCGGAGAAGACCTGCCCCAGTGCCACTTTGTCCACTAAGATAACACATGACTTGACCTGGGCTCGAACCCTGACCTCCGCGGTGGGAAGCCAGCTGGGTCCACTCGGCACGTCGGCCACTGATTGGCCTATTGTACTTGCCCCGGGTGGTTATGATGATGGAGAATTTGGTGGAATGAAGATTGGCAGGAGAAACCGAAGTACTCGGAGAAAACTTTCCCCAGAGCCACTTTGTCCACCACAAATCCAACTTGATCAGACCCGGGCTCGAACACGGGCCGCTGCAGTGGGAAACCGACGACTAACCGTCTGAGAAATGGCACGGCCCCTTAGTCTGCTTACTTTCAGAGAGAACCTTCAGTTGCAGCTACATGTCTTTAGCAACGTATAATTCATGCATCTGAAAAATTACAAATGTTTACCTTTAACGGCTGAGAGATGGCGGAGTATGTTTCAAATTGCTGTAAGACAAAAAAAATCCTAACTACAGGGGCCATTTCTTCCTATCCACATTCCCATGTGTACCAAGAAATGGGCTAATATTCTTTGCAACATCCCTTCAACTGCAGTAGGTACAATATGGAGTCGAATCAGACAGGACTTATTAGATTATGTAGCAGCTAATAATACGATGATCAGTGGATAAAGAAGTGAAAATATTTTGAAGGAAGCAATGTGGTCTAGTTTCATTTGGGCAAATTATCCTGACTACTTCCGAGAGAGACAGAGGAAAACACAAAAACTCGCTACCAGGATGGCGACTTTCGTGTTTCTCGAAGAATTCTTTATCTGATTAAAAAAAAATCCCGGAATTTTCCAGAGGCAGCTTACTGAGCAAGTCTAAACGTCTTTCTTGTGTTACAGGTGCGGCGATTGTCATGAGTCGCCGTGACGCCTTGTCCGCCCTAGGAGCTTGAGAGCGGTGATGAGCTCGCTTGCACTTGGAGTACCTCTCATTATGGTTACAGTACTGGGCCTGCTGCTGAACGGGTACATCATGCTCGTTGTTGTCCTCACAAAGCAGGTACTAATTCTATCTCTGCTTTCTCTTGTCTCTCTACTATCGTGTTTTTTTCCTTCCTTGATACTTCCCTATATTCCTATTCCTTTGTCTGCAGGAAGTTATCTGTGAAAAGATCATTGAATCTGTACAGCGGCGACGGGCTACATGTCCTACATCTGCATTTCTGCTGCCTTATCCTCACTTCTTGGTGAGCTGTTATCTAACAAACCTAGCATCAAGTATAGTAAACAGAATTTTGTAGATGAGCGAACAGAATCACCGGGATATTTTTCTTGCTCCACCCAAATGTGTCGCCATCTTGTCGTGGTGGTGGAACTTGCATGGCTCTGTAACCTGGAGAGCTATGTCGGCGGTAGTTTAACTACCGGTAGGGTCACCCATGCAGGAAGGGTCAAAGGGTAGAATTCAGACTAAGAGAGATACCGTGGTCCTCCAGGTTGGGGGTTGGCCATGGGGCTAATAATCTCATCCTGTGAAAAGAATTTTGTTCAGAAACCTAACAACCAGCCTCGGATAAGTGGAACATATGGGAAACGGACTAAGCAAAATACAAGGAAGAACGATATTGTGAAGGCAACTTGGAATGTACGAACATGCTGCAACCCGATGTTAAACGGAAGGCTATATTCCAAAAGAAGAAAAGGAAGACCCAGGATGAGATGACTAGACGATGTTGAGAAAGACCTGAAGAAGATGAAGGTGAAAGGATGGATAAAGAAGATGAGGAATAGAGAGCAGTGGAGACTGGTTGTAGAGGAGGCCAAGGCTCACCCAGGGCTGTAGCACCGAGTGGAAGGTAGGTAGGTATTTTTCTTGCTGCAACCTCAGACTGGTAGAGTTGCAAACGTCTGCCTCAACTACGGTACTCGAATTCCTGAAACGACATTCACTTCAGACAACTGTCGCTGTATCAAAGTTAAAATTCTTGCCTGTGAAATTATGACATATCCTGTTAATTTTAAGGAATGTGCATGATATGGCTTAGGGTTACTCCCACCTCAACAACTCACACAACCACCAGCATGTTATTGGCCATAGTAGGGAAATGAGCAGCTTAGAGAAAGATTTGCCTCCGTTCTGAAGTTAGTATCGACTTCAACGAAAACTGGAAGATTGCTTCAAGCTTCAATACAGGCGAACCACGCCCACACGGGAAACTGAATATGACTTATCATTTTCAGTACAGAACTAATAAAATAAAAGCAGCTTAACAGGAAGAGAAGGATGGCAAGGAGAAGAACTTTCTGTTTTTTAGAATACAGGGATATAATCCTATAACGAAGAAGAAACAACCACAAAGTTGAACACGTTCGTCGATTACGAAGGAAAAGAAATTACGCTTGCTACGCTAAATGACTGGAACAACAAAACACGAACGTTAATGGAAGCACGCAGTAACCCCCCCCCCACTCATTACTTTTCATTAGCTTAGTTTCATTACACGCGGGGTCTTGGTTGAGTAAATATCTCGGTTAGGGTGTTGAATAGGCATGGGGCTGAACCGAATTGCCCCAGAAAGGCAATAGCACTGCGTGAAAACCGATGACAGGAGTGATATAACACTGCTGCATCTTACGAAGTTTCAGAAAATGACGGTTAATATTTTAAGATTTTCAAAGATTTAAGTAGCTTTCAGTGGGATACATTAAATTTATTTTTAAAATGACATTCATCCTTAAATAATAAAATATATGACCCAGAGAAGACAGGCCTATTACGAGGGAGAGTCTTTAAATAGATCAGAAATGGATATAAAACGGAAAATATGTGATATTCAACATTGAAACTTTTTTTTCTCTCGACGTATCCTTCGTCAACATTGATACACTTGTCCCTTCGCTTACTAGTGTGTCCAAACCCGCAGCGTAAAAGTCTTTTGACTGTTGTCTCAGCCACTTCAGCATCTCCCTCTTCAACCTCGTCTTCATTAGTGAAACATTTGCCACCGAGGTGTCTTTTGAGCGGACCAGACAGAAGAAAGTCACTAGGGGACAAGTCCGCGTTGTAAGACGGATGTTCAAGAAGTTCCCACTAAATTTATAGTTCTTGAATTCTCTCCTGGATTGCTCGGGCTGTATGGAGTCTGGCATTGTCATGATGAAGCAGTAGCCCCCTTGCCAGTTGGCGTGGAGGTTTTCCGCGAGTTGCATCCTGAAGCTTCAGCAGAACTTCACCGTACGTTGCAGAATTCACTTTTTACGGCATTTCTGAAAATGGGAACGGTTACCATTTTGACTATTGAAACCAGCCTCTGAATATGAGCGTACACTCCTGCTACCTAGACCTTTATTTTTTCAAAAGAAAATAAACGAATATATAAAAATTTACTAGGTAATGCCCATCCGGTCCGCTACATAGACTGTCATGAAACTGGATTGTTCTGCTGCATAGTAATACAAAAAAAAATCCTTGGTTTTAGTCCGCAAGCGAACTATACCGACCGAGCGACCGCCGCTTGTTGGCGAAGTTAGTACCAACTTTAGCGGATAGAAAGTGTCGCGTGGTCAGCGCAACGTATCCCCACGGCCGTTAATTTCGGTTTTCTAGACCGGAGCTACAAAGTTAATACACGCAGGAAACCTATTACATCAATTACAGATGTTTTACTTCCATTTGTGACTTATTTAGTAACTCTCCGTTATATTTAATAATCACATTGTGTTGATAGCCGATCACAGTGGCCGCGCCGTCTAAGGCATGAACTGTCTTCGCTCGCTCGACAACTGAGATCTTAGGTTCGAATCCCACTCAAGGCATAGATGTCTGTGAATGCGTTTATTCTGGGTTTGTGTTATCCTCTGTGTAGGTAGCGGCCTTGTGACAGGCTGATCTCTCGTCCATGGAGATTACGAAGCCGAAGAAGAGGCCAGGGCCTAACAAATGGCTGTAGTGCTATTGATAAATTACATTACATTACATTACAGTACATTACATTACAGTCTTTTGTTTACGATGTTAATGCAACATGTCCTGACCATACGCGTCCTTCAATATGTACATCTGTCTGTTGCTGTAGGCTCATGCACTGTATCATTCCCTTGGTGAGTGAAGCATTCATTGAAAAAAATTAAGCTAATAATTAAAAATTTAAATTTATATTCATTATCCAAGAATGTATCAATTGCAGCTTAAATAAATTGGTATGCCTCGAATGAATTTATTGGGTGTAGTGTTCATGGCTGGTGGATATGCACTGCCATCCACCTACTACGAACTCGGTAAGAAAGCGGTTTGAATCTTGGTCGGATTACCCCTTACCCTGACTTCCATCTTTTGTTCTTTTTTTCAGTCGCTCCAGCAAAAGGTACGATATTACCTTGAAATTGTCAAAATCGCCCCCTTACTTCCCCATTTACTCACCGTTCATGACTATCCACCCCCCTGGAAATTACGTGGCCCCTTCAGTTCAAATTACTTCGTTAAATAAACCAAGATGCAATAAGGGGATCGCGTGTCAAATTTACTCTCCCTTCCCCTCCTCTTTACTGTCTTTTTCTTTCATGTTTCTTTCTCTGTCCTTCGTTTCCTTACATTTCTATGTTTGTTTATTTTGACATATAGTTGCTCGTTTCCACAGGTTTGTTTCTTTACTTCTTTATTTGTTTTGGCCTTTTAATTTTCATTCGTTTCTTTCCTTTTTCTCTTCTCCTTTCAGACAGTTATATTATTGTATATGTGCACACGCGTCTTTGTGTGTGTATAAGGCATGGCTCATTACAGAATTTCCCTTCACTAAAATGACCATCCCTTACAACAGTACCCGGCTGTGGTCATTACAAATTATGCGAGAGCCTGCTCCATATCCTTCGCTCGGTCTGGCGGTAAGTATACATGCCATTCAAGATGGTTGCCCTTTTTTCGACAAAAGAACTTCAAGGCATGATTGTAAAAATTTTACTTAGTTGCAAGTAATGCTTAAGCGGCCTCCGTAGCCTAGGTGTAACCTTCCCACCTCGTGACTCAAGGTACGCGGGTTCAAACCCGGCGGAGGTCGTGGAATTTTTAAGGGCGGAAAAATTCAGGGAACAAGTCCTCCGGGAGGGACTTTAAGCCGTGGGTCCCGTGTCGTAACTTTACGGCACGTAAAAGAACCTCATGTCCCAAGGGGACCTCTGAGCCAAATTCAGGACGTTTCCCGCCCAACAGTAGTCTCTAACGCCTCTGGTAGATGGGGGAAGCATCGAGATACCGCTGAGCCAGTAGAGGCCGAACTCGCTGGCTGAGTCGGGACTGATGGTAACCACCAGTACCGGTAGGATATAGAGACTGGTAGAATAACACAGGGGGACGCACAATGGACCAACAGTTGGTCTAAGTGCATGGGGAAACCCACCCTCTCCAATAACAACAACAACAAGTAATGCTTACATAACACCAGGCCAAATTTCTGGCATCTGCTACATGATCTGGGTGAGATTGTTTGCGATTTACTGGCCTATGAGCTTGCCGATTGCTTTGCGGTTTCGAATAGGGGCAGAAGGATTTGACATGAGGAATTTATGTCTCTTCCCCTGGATAGGCAAAACGATTTGCAGGAGGCTGATAAATAAGCGCTCTATGCTTACCTCTTCTTTATGGCGTCCCCGCACAAAAATTCTTCCGGGTTTGTTGCCCGTATTTGGGTTGAAAGTCGATGTAACATCGTGAACTCGTCTGCTTTCCATTAGCTTTGTGACGCTTTATTTGTCTAAATCTATTAATATTTTCAACAGAGCAGTGCTTTAATGAATAAGCTCGGAAGCAATCCTTGTAAAATCGACTTCCTTTAAACGCTTCTATCTATACAGACGGATCATCAGGGGTTGCAAATTAACAAGTATAGAAATCTCTTCTCATGCTCCACTACAGAGAGGTCTTCTACAAGGAAGTCGTTAGATACAGTATAATCTCAGGAAATTCAGTACAAAAATAAATATTTATTACAAAATTTGTAATTTAGTTCTTGCAAAAGTCTATTAGTGATTACACTGCCATGACACTGCAATATGAGAATAATTTGC